ATTTAGACCGTACCGGTTCATTGTAGCTCAAATCGCTCAATTTTTCCAAAACAAAATAAATATATAAAAATTTTAAATCACTCCATTTTTTGTTTAAAAAAATAAATATATATTTAGACCCCGGTTCATTGTAGCAAACCAACGAAATTTCAAATTGCACAATTTTTCCAAAAAAAAATAGATATATATTTAGACCTTACCAGTTCACTGTAGCAAACCAACAATTCATGACGCCAAGCTCGTGATTCCTTGTAGCACCACATCCGGATCCCGTTTTATTAACAGATCCAGAATGTCTTCAACAATACCTGCTCCGAAACCCCTGATTTCGGATTGAAACAACAATTTTTTAAACATTGCTTTTCCCTCCTCCCAAATCATTGGATGCTTTACCCATTATATCCCCTTTTAACGAGGTAATGTAAAAAACAAGTCCACCCCACCCTCACCCACACCCACACCCATCCCCTCCCACCCCCCGCCCCGCCCCGCCCCGCCCCGCCCCGCCCTTTTAGGATAACTCCAATGTGGTCCTCTTTGTGGAAATAAGTAGGGGATCCATCATCATGGGTTGGCATACCCAATAGTATATCTCTTTTACATATTGACTTAGTTCTTGAATGACATCAAATCCAGTCATGCGCGTAAGATTTCTAGCCTCGCACACACTATGGTGTACATCAAACACTTCTTATGGTCGATATTTGTTGAGGATTGATGTTTTGTATTTTGAAGAAATAGAACCGCCAAGGTGGAGTCAAAAGGACGACTTCGAAAGGCCATTTAAAAGGCTGAAGGCTGAAGGCTGAAGGCTCGAAGGGCTTGAGGCTCGAAGGAGTGTCTAGCCAGGTAGACTCGGTTGACTCGGCTGTTGAGGGGGTCCCCCGAGGAAGATTTCGGATATCCGTACATGGGAATTCGATATTTATGTACATGGGGTATTTCGGTAATTTATACCATCTATCTGGGACTCAATATACATTGTTACGATGGATTTTGTTTTTAGGGTTAAGAGAAAAACGCAGATCTCTTTGTAATCAGAGAGAATAGAGAAGCATGAGGAAGAGAGCTATTGTAGCCATGCTCTCTATTGCCAATAAAGAAGTTCTCATCTCTCGTGGATATAAGCACGTTGCCGAACCACGTATATCTTTGCGTTGTATCTGATTGTCTCTTTCTTTTGTGTTTGTTTCTTCTTTCTTGTTTTCGTGGATTGCTTTTAGGGTTTCTACAAATTGTGTTTTCCAAATAAACCTTCTCCTTAAGATTTAATACTGTTAGTTTTATTTCTTCTCATGTTTGACAGAAAAGTAGTAGTGACTTCGTCCATCTTAAGAGTCTCATTCCCGTATAGTAGAGTCGTAACCAGGAGATCGTATGATCCTATAAGCGAAGCCAACAGAAGTAGGGCCTTGTCTTCATCCTCAATTTCGACCTCGCGGCTTGCTAACTGGCTTATGATCTGGTTGAACTCGTTGAGATGTTCAAGCAGATCCATGTCTTCTTCCATCTAAAGAAAATACAACTACTTCTTCAATAACAACTTGTTCGTCAGATATTTCATCATGTAGATACTCTCGATTTTTGTCCAAACCTCCGGAGCAATTTCGTGGTCAACCAAATAACGCAAGGCATCATCTGATAGATTCAGACGAATCGCTCTCACCACCTTTTCCTCAATCTCTTGCCACTCTTCATCATCTCTCTTTGCTGGTTTCATTGATTTCCCTCGCAAAGCCATAGCCAGACCTTGATGTATCAGAAGATCCTTCATCCTTCGTCGTCAAAGAGTGAAGCTGTTCTTTCCATTGAACCTCTCAATATTATACTTGACACTTGAGCCATTTCCTGTCATCGTGGTAGCAAACCCCAGAAAGCAGAATAACCTGGTAGGCCCTAATACCAATTTGTAGAAAACCCTAAAAGCAATCCACAAGAACAAGAAAGAATAAACAAACACAAAAGAAAGAGATAACCAACCACAACACAAAGATATACGTGGTTCGGCAACGTGCTTATGTCCACGGGAGATGAGAGTTTCTAACTTTTCTCATTTCTTCCTTCTTTCGTTTTATTAGGTTCTTAGTTTAAAATGACCAACAAATGGGGAAATAATTATCACAAGAGAAGATTCCATTAAGTCAAATGCCCTTTTCTGCTAGAAACCATTCACAATCAGTGTCTTATATCTTGGTTGTCAGCTCTTGTCATTGTCATTTATTTGGAATATCTATTTGTTCTTTAGTGTCTTCTTACCTTTTGGCAAGTTTATCAAATAAGCTTTATGTGAGGAATCTATGTCCTCTTATATAGATTTAACCTACTTCTCGTGTTCATCAGCGTGAGATTCTCGGTAGCTTTCTGGTTCACCGGTGTCATTGAGTCAACATATTCCAATAATTGGTACATGTTCAAGGGTTTATGGCTCCTTAAGGATCTTCTCACTTCACTTCTTGAATAGGATAATCTCCATGCTCCACACCACCTAGAACTAACATGTCACTCCTCATGGGATTCAACCTTTAGCATTTTTTGCACTTCTCCCCCTTCTTCATCATTCATCATGGTGGAAGAAAAAATGACCAAACCTTGTAAATCATAAAAGATCTGTGACTTCTCTTGCTTTTACATATATTTAAGAGAAAATATCTTCATACCTCTCATTTTTAAGTTTTATATCTCAATAGACCCAAGGTTTCAAAATATATCTTGGGTCATAAAAATACTAAGTT